TATATTTTGGTGGTGTGACACAGACATTATAATTTTTGTGTGACATTTCAGGGTCCATGTGTCAAGAATATATTTTAGATTTCAGGGCTTTCTAGGACCCATATATATCTAGAATATAGATATGGTCCATGACATTTAGTCATGTAACTTACGTGGAGTTTGCATGACTAATAGTCAGTTGGCAGTGGGTGACTGAAGTGACCCTGGACAGCAAACAAATCACAAGTTTTTTGCTGAAACTAGGACCCCTGACACCCCTACAGACCAGAAAAATATATCCTTACCACATCTGTTTCACAAAATATATCCTAAGGCCAAGCCAGGGCAAAATATATTTCTAAGGTGTGACAGTGACATTTCAGGGTCCACTGACCAAAAATATATCCTTACTGCATTTCACTTGCAAAATATATTTTGGTGGTGTGACACAGACATTATAATTTTTGTGTGACATTTCAGGGTCCATGTGTCAAGAATATATTTTAGATTTCAGGGCTTTCTAGGACCCATATATATCTAGAATATAGATATGGTCCATGACATTTAGTCATGTAACTTACGTGGAGTTTGCATGACTAATAGTCAGTTGGCAGTGGGTGACTGAAGTGAAAGTGGCTGGCACTCCAGTGGGAGTCCAGTGGACTGGACTGGACTGGACTGGACTGGACTGGACTCCAGTGGACTGGGCATTCTGCCAGCCAATCTGGCCTGGTAAGAGGGCCACTGGAATCCACTGGAATCCACTGGAGTCCACTGGAGTCCATATGGATTACGTGGGGGAGGGTAAAGACCTCCATGAGAATGCCCAAAGACCCACAAAACCGCCATCTACCCAAGGGGGTGGCGGAATGTGGATCCCGGATATAGGGTTGGGGGGGGGGTCCACTAAGGGGTCGAAATATTTTTCGTGACCTACTTTAGAAAAGTCCTGCCAATAAGCCAAATAGCGCTCCCAAAAGAAGTTGGGAAGTTCAGATGCACGGCAAACACCTAATTTACGTATTTACTGTCCAAAATTGTGACTGAGCCAAAAAAAAAGTCAACAAACTTTTTTCTAACACCGCTCAGGTTCGCAAAAAGTATGGCTAAGAAGAAGTGGGTCCCTATTTTATATATATATTCTAACTCAATACTGTATTACAGAAGAGCGTCAGGGTTTACGAGCGACAGCAAGCTTCGTTGCCCAGAATGTGAGCAAGATGTTCCTGTTGGAACAGGTGGCAATGCAAATCTGCAGCAGCATATCGGATCGAGAGCATGCGCAGCCGCCATCTCATCAAGATGGCAGCAAAACATACCATCTATTCGCTCCTTTTTTGGACCAAAAATCCCACAAAACCCACCAACGACAAGCGCGCCCCCGCTCCTTCATTCAGCAGTAGAGGTGGTGTCCAGCTCGACAAACAGATTTGAGAGCACGACTGTATCCTGAAGTGCAACACGAAGGGAGCCTTGTCCACTCGCTGTCACCTTACTTTCAAGGCTCAGAGCCGGCATTGAAAGAATACCGAACGAGGTCCCGACCGCCGATGGGGATCACCCCCTGGCAGTCTTTTCAGGGGATCCAACGGCCTACTCAAACGATGAACATGATGACTGGGAGGAAGTATTAAACCCTCTGATGAAGCGAGCCTTTGGTTGGGGGAAAGATGACGGAGCAGTAAAAGGAGTGGCGAGGAAAGGGAATAATGGGATTGAAGGTTTCATGAAATTTATTGAATTTTTTGTCATGAACCGTGGACTGGTGGGGGCGTTGATTGAGACAAAGTGTATGACTTTGCTAAAGGTGATCAACGATGAGTATGTGGACTGGTGGGTACCACTTTTATCATATAAATAAGGTAACTGCCTAGGGCTCCCTGTGTATAAGTCCACAGTTGTTATGATAGGAATCATTCCAGTTACCATGTCTATTCATTATGCGATTTTCATTAGTTATCTGGCTGATATCATTGTGCTTTTCATTATTTATCTCGCCAATATCATTGCGATTTTCATTAGAAACCTGGGCGATATCATTGCAAATTTCATTGGTTACTTGGTCAATATCATTGCGATTTTCATTAGAAACCTGGGCAATATCATTGGAAATTTCATTAGCTACTTGGTCAATATCATTGCGATTTTCATTATTTATCTGGCCAATATCATTGCGATTTTCATTATTTATCTGGCCAATATCATTGCAATTTTCATTAGGTGCCTGGGTGATATCATTGCAACTTTCATTAGCTACATGAGCAATATCATTGTGATTTTTCAAATGTAGCCCTGGGCATTTCATTGCGATTTTTCAATAGATGCCCTGTGCATTTCATTGTGATTTTCCAAATGTGGCCCTGTGCATTTCATTGCAATTTTTCAAATGTAGCCCTGGGTATTTCATTGTGATTTTTCAATGGATACCCAGGGCATGAATGCTTTGAATACAGAACATCAGGCACTGCCTTCAGGGTCCACTTCAGGGTCCATCCCAAAAGGGAAATATCACCTGGTTTGACTAAAAAGTGAAGAAAACCAAGAGGAGAATGACGTTACCTATCAGGGTCCATGTAAGAGGATGTTGGGATGATGGTCACATGACCAATTACCAAAAATGGTCAAAAAGCGAAAGTTGTAGCCCTATACTGTAGCTTCCCAAATCTGTTTGAATTATGTTCTGAAGTGCTCCTGTTGTGGAGATATGAGGTAAAGGAATTTCAAAAGTGTTGTGTTTTTTTTTGTTTTTTGTGTTTTTCTCGATGAAAACGAAACCAAATAACATGATTTCAGTATATTTAGAAAGCTAAAAGAAAGGGCTACAATTATTGTATCGTGGGAAAAATGACCAAAAAAGGAAGTACTATAAGAGTCAGATATAGACTACCAAGTTTGCTGATAGACTACAAAAAAGTCGGACTTAAACTACAAAGTTTACTGATAGACTACAAATGACTACAAAAGTCGAACTTAGACTACAAAGTTTACTCATACACTACAAATGACTACAAAAGTCAGACTTAGACTACAAACACTTGGACTTAGACTACAAAGTTA